CCCCCTCCCCCCGGTTGCTGCGCAGAACGGGGCAGCTGGCAGGCTCTGCCTCACCTCGCGTTGGCAGGTTGGCCCCGCTGTGCTTCTGGGCAAACCAGAGAGAGGGCAGGGCAGGACACCGTCTTTAACTTTTAACGTTCCAGCCATCGTTTGCACACGGTAATGTCAACCCACCCTGTGCACTTTACCGACTCATTAGAAATGCCATTATGATTAACAGCTCTCTGCTTGTAGAAAGCAGTGGAATCTCTTGATATTCAGAAAAACTACAATGTACTTGGACTTGTGCCTGTCAGCCAAATAGAAAACAGATTTCAAATAGAAATCTTTGATTTAGCTATGCACACAAATATATTTGGCATGTGAAGCACATACGGCTCCATGGTCTCTTTTGTTAAGTGTTGCCTACTATGCATCAGATGCAACATATTGTTCTTCATTGCAATTGCTCCCATTTTGTGTAGCCAGTTTGTGTCACCAGGTCTGAGCAAGTTCTAGGCAAATAAGTTTAAACACAAACAAAATATAATCTGCCAGAATTTCACTGAAGATAATTGACACTCCAGCTTTTCCAAAACTGCTTCCTACATATGCCATTTTATTTAGAAATATTTCAAGTGCCTTCACATGCCACCATGCTGTAGAACGTAAATGTAATCCTCAAGCAAGGATGAGCTGATTAAAAGAAGTTCCCAGAGAACTCCAGCAAAGCAGATGTTATCAATGAGAAATTTTTCAATGTCAGCTCAGTCATTTCATGTGTAAAGATCCTCTTCATTTGCACATCTTCAGTGATGTGTCTAAATCCTCATGACTTACTGTTTTCTCTGCTAGCTTAACACTCCTGTCTTCTCAAGCATCTCTTTATTACCTGAAAAGAGTAAAATATTCCCAGCAAGTTTTCTACAGAAATCTGATGGTATGCACAGCAATTGCTGTAGTTAAACTTGGTAGGAGCAAGTCAAAGAAAATAGCAATTTGCGCACAGTGGCAACAAATATATATAACTGGTACATAATTTAATGTGACCTTCAATATCTTGCTATGTTTTCCACCCTTTTTGCCGAGTAGTCATTTTTTGAATATTCTGTGATGAGCCTAATTTGGCAAGTTAAAATTTTATCAAGTTTCCTGGGAATTGGAGTCATTGCTATTATGGTTTGGAATTTGTTATGCAAATATATGACAAAGCTT